CCCCAAATTTTTGGCCTCAAAAGAAAACTTTTTCCAGGTAGGGGTTGAGGAAAATCCCGCTGGGGTCCAGCTGCTCCCTCAGGGCGCAGAATTTGGGAAATTCGGGGAACATCAGCTCCAGCTCCTTCCTCGTGCAGCTGTGAGCCTGCCACGCCACAATTCCCAAAAAAAATCCCAATTATCCCCAAATTTGGGAATTTCCCCCCATTTCCCCCTTTCTCCCATTAAAAATCCCTTTTTTTCCATTAAAAATCTCTTTTTTCCCCAATTTTGCCTCATTTTTCCCTCATTTTCCCCAATTTTTCCCATTTTATTCCCATTTTTCCCCATGATTTCCCCCTTTTTTCCAATTTTATTCCCATTTTCCCCTTTCTCCCATTAAAAATCCCTTTTTTTTCCATTAAAAATATCTTTTTTTCCCCATTTTTCCCATTATTTTCCCTCTTTTTTCCAGTTTATTCCCATTTTATTCCCATTTTTCCCCATGATTTCCCCCTTTTTTCCAATTTTATTCCCATTTTCCCCTTTCTCCCATTAAAAATCCCTTTTTTTTCCATTAAAAATATCTTTTTTTCCCCATTTTTCCCATTATTTTCCCTCTTTTTTCCAGTTTATTCCCATTTTATTCCCATTTTTCCCCATTTTTTCCAATTTTCCCCTCATTTTTTCCAGTTTTATTCCAATTTTTCCCTTTTCTCCCATTAAAAATCTCTTTATCCCCCATTTTTTTCCCATTTTTCCAATATTTTCCTTTTTTTCCCAATTTTATTCCCATTTTATTCCCATTTTCCCATGATTTTCCCCATTTTTTCCAATTTTTCCCTCTTTTTTCCAATTTTATTCCCATTTTTCCCCATTATTTCCCCCCTTTTTACCAATTTTCCATTTTGTTCCCATTTTCCCCCTTTCTCCCATTAAAAATCCCTTTTTTTCCATTAAAAATCTCTTTTTTCCCCAATTTTTCCCCATTTTCCCCTCATTTTTCCCAATTTTTCCCATTTTATTCCCATTTTTCCCCACGATTTTCCCCGTTTTTTCCAATTTTATTCCAATTTTCCCCCTTTCTCCCATTAAAAATCCCCTTTTTCCCATTAAAAATCTTTTTTCCCCAATTTTTCCCCATTTTTCCCATTATTTTCCCTCTTTTTTCCAATTTTATTCCAATTTTCCCCCTTTCTCCCATTAAAAATCCCTTTTTTTCCGTTAAAAAGGTCTTTTTTCCGCAATTTGTCCCATTATTTTCCGTCTTTTTTCCAGTTTATTCCCATTGTATTCTCATTTTTTCCCATTATTTTCCCTCTTTTTTCCAATTTTATTCCAATTTTCCCCCTTTCTCCCATTAAAAATCCCTTTTTTTCCGTTAAAAAGGTCTTTTTTCCGCAATTTGTCCCATTATTTTCCGTCTTTTTTCCAGTTTATTCCCATTTTATTCTCATTTTTTCCCATTATTTTCCCTCTTTTTTCCAATTTTATTCCAATTTTCCCCTTTTTCCCCTTAAAAATCCCTTTTTTTCCGTTAAAAAGGTCTTTTTTCCGCAATTTGTCCCATTATTTTCCGTCTTTTTTCCAGTTTATTCCCATTGTATTCTCATTTTTTCCCAATTTTCCCCCATTTTTCCCATTATTTTCCCTCTTTTTTCCAATTTTATTCCAATTTTCCCCTTTTTCCCCTTAAAAATCCCTTTTTTTCCGTTAAAAAGGTCTTTTTTCCGCAATTTGTCCCATTATTTTCCGTCTTTTTTCCAGTTTATTCCCATTGTATTCTCATTTTTTCCCAATTTTCCCCCATTTTTCCCATTATTTTCCCTCTTTTTTCCAATTTTATTCCAATTTTCCCCTTTTTCCCCTTAAAAATCCCTTTTTTTCCGTTAAAAAGGTCTTTTTTCCGCAATTTGTCCCATTATTTTCCGTCTTTTTTCCAGTTTATTCCCATTGTATTCTCATTTTTTCCCAATTTTCCCCCATTTTTCCCATTATTTTCCCCCTTTTAACCAATTTTTCCCCAATTTTTCCCCATTTTTTCCCATTTTATTCCCATTTTTCCCCATTATTTCCCCCCTTTTTACCAATTTTTTCCCAATTTTTCCCCATTTTATTCCCATTTTCCTCCCTTTTCCCCCCATTTTTCTCAATTTTTTCCAATTTCCCCCTTTTCCCCCCATTATTTATCCCATTTTTACATTACAAAATCCCAATTTTCCCCAAATTTGGGAATTTCCCCCCATTTTTCCTCTTTCTCCCCTTAAAAATCCCATTTTTCCCATTAAAAATCTCTTTTTTCCCCATTTCCCCAATTTCCCCCCATTTTTCCCATTATTTTCCCTCTATTTTTCCAGTTTTATTCCCATTTTTCCCTTTTCTCCCATTAAAAAATCTCTTTTTTCCCCCCATTTTTCCCATTATTCCCCTCTTTTTTCCAATTTTATTCCCATTTTATTCCCATTTTTTCCCATTATTTTCCCCCTTTTTTCCAATTTTTCCCTCTTTTTTTCCAATTTTATTCCCATTTTCCCCCTTTCTCCCATTAAAAATCCCTTTTTTTCCATTAAAAATCTCTTTTTTCCCCAATTTTTCCCATTATTTTCCGTCTTTTTTCCAGTTTATTCCCATTTTATTCTCATTTTTTCCCATTATTTTCCCTCTTTTTTCCAATTTTATTCCAATTTTCCCCTTTCTCCCCTTAAAAATCCCTTTTTTTCCATTAAAAATCTCATTTTTTCCCAATTTTCCCCCATTTTTCCCATTATTTTCCCCCTTTTAACCAATTTTTCCCCAATTTTTCCCCATTTTTTCCCATTTTATTCCCATTTTTCCCCATTATTTCCCCCCTTTTTACCAATTTTTTCCCAATTTTTCCCCATTTTATTCCCATTTTCCTCCCTTTTCCCCCCATTTTTCTCAATTTTTTCCAATTTCCCCCTTTTCCCCCCATTATTTATCCCATTTTTACATTACAAAATCCCAATTTTCCCCAAATTTGGGAATTTCCCCCCATTTTTCCTCTTTCTCCCCTTAAAAATCCCATTTTTCCCATTAAAAATCTCTTTTTTCCCCATTTCCCCAATTTCCCCCCATTTTTCCCATTATTCCCCTCTTTTTTCCAATTTTATTCCCATTTTATTCCCATTTTTCCCTATTATTTTTCCCTTTTTCCAATTTTTCCCCAATTTTTCCCCATTTTTCCCCATTTTGTTCCCATTTTTCCCCTTTCTCCCCTTAAAAATCCAATTTTTCCATTAAAAATCTTTTTTTTCCCAATTTTTCCCCATTTTTCCCATTATTTCCCCTCTCTTTTCCAATTTTATTCCCATTTTTTCCCATTTTTCCCATTATTTTTCCCCTTTTTCCAATTTTTCCCCATTTTTTCCCCATTTTATTCCCATTTTTTCCCTTTCTCCCATTAAAAATCTCATTTTTTCATTAAAAATCTCTTTCTTCCCCAATTTTTCCCCATTTTTCTCATTATTTTCCCTCTTTTTTCCAATTTTTCCCCATTTTATTCCCATTTTTCCCTTTTTTTCAATTTTCCCCCATTATTTTCCCCCTTTCCCCCCAGTTTTTTCTCATTATTTCCAATTTTTTTCCATTTTTCTCCTTTTCCCCCATTTTTCTCCCATTTCTTTTACCATTTTCCCCATTTTTCCCCCTTTCTCCCCCAATTTTCCTCCCTTTCCCCCCAGTTTTTCTCCCCGTAGTTTCCCCTTTTTTCCCCCAATTTTTCCCTTTTTTCTCCCATTTATTTTCCCATTTTTTTCCCCATTTTCCCCCCATTTTTTCCTCATTTTCCCCCCCTTTTTCCCTTTTTTCTCCCCTTTATTTTCCCATTTTTTTCCTCATTTTCCCCCCCTTTTTCCCTTTTTTCTCCCCTTTATTTTCCCATTTTTTTCCTCATTTTCCCCCCCTTTTTCCCTTTTTTCTCCCCTTTATTTTCCCATTTTTTTCCTCATTTTCCCCCCCTTTTTCCCTTTTTTCTCCCCTTTATTTTCCCATTTTTTTCCTCATTTTCCCCCCCTTTTCCCCCCATTTTCCCCCCATTTTTTCCTCATTTTTCCTCATTTCCCCCCCATTTTCCTCCCATTTTCCCCCAATATTTTCCCCTTATTCTCCCATTTATTTTCCCATTTTTCCCCCATTTTCCCCCAATTTTTTCCCAATTTCCCCCCATTTTCCCCCCATTTCCCCCCCATTTTTTCCCCCCATTTTTTCCCCATTTTCCCCCCATTATTTCTCCTTTCTTTCCCATTTTTTTCACCCATTTCCCCTCTTTGTCTCTCCCTTTTTTTACCATTTCCCCCCATTTTTTCCCTTTTCCCCCCATTTCCCCCCCTTTTTTCCCATTTTTCTCAAATTTTCCCCATTTTCCCATTATTTTCCCCATTTTCCCCCCTCTTTTTCCCATTCCCTCCCCATTTTTTCCCATTTTCCCCATTTCCCACCCTTTTCCCCCCATTTTCCCCTTCATTTTTCCCATTTTCCCTCAATTTTTTCTCTCTTCCCCCCATTTTTCCCCATTTCCCCCATTTTTTCCCAATTTCCCCCCAATTTTTTTCAATTTTCCCCCCATTTTTTTCCATTTTCCCCCAAAATTTTCCCATTTTCCCTCAATTTTTTCTCTCTTCCCCCCATTTTTCCCCATTTCCCCCATTTTTTCCCAATTTCCCCCCAATTTTTTTCAATTTTCCCCCCATTTTTTTCCATTTTCCCCCAAAATTTTCCCATTTTCCCTCAATTTTTTCTCTCTTCCCCCCATTTTTCCCCATTTCCCCCATTTTTTCCCAATTTCCCCCCAATTTTTTTCAATTTTCCCCCCATTTTTTTCCATTTTCCCCCAAAATTTTCCCATTTTCCCTCAATTTTTTCCCCATTTCCCCCCTTTTTCCTCCCATTTTCCCCCATTTCTCCCCTTTTTTCCCTCATTTTTCCTCCTTTTTTCCCATTTCCCCCTTTTTTCAATTTTATTCCCATTTTATTCCCATTTTCCTCATTATTTCTGCCCTTTTCCCCATTTTTTCAATTTCCCCCCAACTTCCCCCCATTTTTCCCAATTTCCCCCCAATTTTTCCAATTTTCCCCATTTTTCCAATTTTCCCCCATTATTTCCAACTTTCCCCCATTTGTTCCCAATTCCCCCCAATTTTTCCAATT